TAGAATTGGTCTTTTAAAGAATAGAAAATGCACAATAAATTGATTATGTTCAAGTCTTGTTAATGGCCCACGTAAGCTAAAACATGGTGATGATGCTTCCAGTGTTATCTAAAAGAGTGTCTGAGAACCTTTGGGAAACACCCATTTTGTATTTCGTTTGCAGAGGAGGCTGATCCTTTAATGGTTTCCTGAGAAGTCAGAGCATCTCCCAGTCTTCCATGCTGGCTCACTCATTTATTATGTTCTTAATTCTATAAACCCAGACATTTCCATAGGTACGTTGTGCATCTACACTGTAGAACAAATGCAGTTTGACACCACTTCTGCTGCCAGGGTTCAATGCTATAGAATCCCGGGTACTGTCATTTTCCAAGGTCTTTAGCCTTCTCTCCCCAACTACAACTCCCCAAATTCCATAGCACTGAGTCCTGTTAAAATGGAGTCAAACTGCATTTATTCTACAGTGTAGATGTGTCTGTAGGTAGAGATATAATCCAAGATCTTATATTTCAATTGCTACGTATATCGCCATTTGGGAATATGCACATTGATTGTGCTGCTGAATGCTTGGTCAAATGGCAATGCAGTGGGCATTAATATAAATGTATCTGAGTGCACAAATGAATATGGAGCAACTGAATGCACAACCAAATATGCCTTCAGATGGTTCAGATGGAAAGTGCTAACTCCTTTCGTAAGAAAGTTTACACTTTTAAAGTCTCCAATATGATTTCACCCTATTTCCAAGTTTCTTATCTCCTTCTGGGCTGCTTCTTCCATGGATTGCCTTTGACTTGCAACATGTGCTGCTACCTAGCTTGGTTTTAATGTGTTTAGACAGTAAATAATATTTTTGTCCTGTCTCACATTTGAAAATATTTCATTTTTACATGAATTTTGTATACATTATTCCATGATCTATACACTGCCATATAATGCAGTTTGGAACATCAGTATATGGTCAGTGTAGACTCATGTATGATAAGAAACAAATTCTTATCATGTATGATAAGAAACAAATTGGTATGATAAGAAACAAAGATGGCAGGGACCTAACAGAAGCTGAAGAGATCAAGAGAAGGTGGCGAGACTATACAGAAGATCTGTATAGGAAGGATAATAATATTGAGGATAGTTTTCACGGTGTGGTGAATGAATTAGAACCAGACATCCTGAGGAGTGAGGTTGAATGGGCCTTAAGAAGCATTGCTAACAACAAGGCAGCAGGAGACGACGGGATCCCAGCTGAACTGTTTAAAATCTTAAAAGATGATGCTGTCAAGGTGATGCATGCCATTTGCCAGCAAATATGGAAAACACAAGAATGGCCATCAGACTGGAAAAAATCAACTTATATCCCCATACCAAAAAAGGGAAATGCGAAAGACTGCTCAAACTTCCGTACAGTGGCCCTTATTTCTCATGCCAGTAAGGTAATGCTCACGATCCTGCAAGGAAGACTCCAGCAATACATGGAGCAAGAGCTGCCAGATGTTCAAGCTGGGTTTAGAAAAGGGAGAGGAACGAGAGACCAAATTGCCAATATCCGCTGGATAA